GGGTTGGGGATTGAATGGGCCAAAGAATGCGCTTGGGTTGAAAGCAGTTTCTCAGAAAGCCCCTTGCTATGGCGTGAAATCTGGCTAACGAGATGCTCTCCAGACAACTTGGCCAGGTCCCTGAGCCGGAAGCCCAGATGTGACTCAAGATGGCTGACATAGGTAGAGGGGGAACGTATCTGTGATGCACAGTCACTGCAGAAGAAGACAGGGTGGCCAGAGTCTAGATTTTTCAAGAACTTTGTGCTACCTGTCCGCCTCAGCTGGTATTTGACGTTGGCCAGCCAGTGGCTGATGGTGGTCATTGAGAGGCCAGTGAAGCGGGAAATATGCATGCGCTCCTGTGGACTAAGGTCTGACATAATATACTTGCCATCACCCGTGTGCCGCAAACTGGAGGTAAACTGTGCCTGCAAGATATGTAGATGCTGAGGATTCCAGTTGGACTGCCGACCCTTTCGTTTCTGAGCGGGAGAGATCTCCTCTGTTTCCTCTGGCGTTGATCCGTCTATATCTGAACGCTCTGAAAGACTCGTTGGTGTGGAGGACTTGGAAGCATGGCTCTCTGTGAGGTTGCGTAGCATATCAGAGATGTCGGACAGAGCATTTTCACGCAGAGGCGAGTTGGACATGAAGGAAGCCACAGCAGATGATGCTTTTGCCATGGTGATGGTTGATGATGGTGAAATTGAGGTGGGAGTGGAGGTAGAGGAGGACAGGGCAGCGGATCCCAGGGAGTTGCTCTTATCGCTCTTGCCTTTGGTCAGATCAATAGGCTGGTCATTGTTGATGTGGTAGAAGTAGCGGTCTAGATGCTCGTTGGTTTTTTTGGTCTGAGATGGAGTGGAGGCAGCAATAGCTGCCTTCTCTGCCAGGCTATTGCTCATCTTGAAGAGCATGCTCATGGGGTCAAGGGACGGAAGGGCAGGTTTGGCAGCTTTTCCTAGGTGAACATTCATGACAGACTGAAGCGCACTTAAAGGGTTGACAAATGGCTGCTCTGGAGGATGGTCGGTTATAATAGCAGTGCTGCTGCATAAGGTAGACATAGGGGCTTTGACAACATGGTCAGTACCATTCTCCAGAGACTCTTTTGTAAGAGCATCTCCATTTGAGTCTTTGTGAGTGTTTCCGCCACCATTAGTCTCAGGGGTTTTGGCTCCTCTCCTTTCCTTTGGGGACTCGCCTCTGGCAGATTCCCCTGCATCGCTACTGCAAGGGGAGGGTGTGGTCCGTCTAAGGGGGGAAGATCTAGCTCCAGGATCCCTCATGTTCTCCTCTACTTTGGCCACTTTTTCTGTGACTTTTTTGACTAGCTCCTCCATGGCATGGAAGTTGTTTTTGGGCAAAGGGGATGCTTGGCAACTAGGTGGAGAAATTAGAGGTTGGCTTTTGATAGGAGACAGGATCTCTTCTCCAGAAAACATATATTTCAGAGGATAACTTTTCCCTGAGTTGCGCAGGGACAGTTTCATAATGTTTGGAAGCTGGTAGGCAGCGTGAATACTGGGGTAGCCTCCCCAGCTGGGTGTGCCATTCTGTGCTTTGTTAATGGCAGATGTTACTGTATTCTCGAGAGACTTCAGAATGTCAAACCCCCCCTTAGGGTTTTCTTCAAGATCTTCCTCTGTCAAATATGAATATTTGGATGAGACTTCAAACTTCTCGTCAGTCTCACTTTCTGTTGCCTTCTTGTCTTTGCTATCATTTGTCTCCTTGGTACATTCCACTTCCTTCTCCTCCTTTTTAATCTCCATGGGTGTGATGGCAGGGGAGATACTAGGGGGAGGAGGTGCAGGTGGTGGTGGGGAAAATGCGGTGGCAGCCAGTGGCACTGACTGTACCTTGTCTTCATTAGTAGGTATGGTGTTAGGAGCCGTTGTGGACATCGACTCCATGATAGGTTTGCCTTTCTTGATGGCAGAATTAGTAACCTTGATGAAGTGTCCTGTGACCATCATATGGGCTGTCAGCTCCTGTAGTGTGTCATGTGAGCTTCCACACTCCATGCACTTCAGAATCTGGGATTTTCGTGACTCAAACTGCCATGCATAACTAGCTCCATTCTGGTGTCCATACCGATTGTTAGGTGTGATATAGGGATTGGGGGTCTTTTGAAGAAGGTCATTGGGGTCAGACAAAGTAGGCTTGGGGGTGCCACCATTGGAATCTGGTGAGCTGGGGAGTTCTAGCTCAATGGGGGCTCTTTTACGAGCTGAAGAGATAATCTTGGCTGCCACAGGAGTTACTGGTTCCTTAAGAGGCACTTTCTGGTAGTGTTTTGTCTTTATCATGTGAACACTAAGGTCCTGCAGTGACTCAAAGGAATGGCCACAGTACATGCACTTTAGAACTTTCTGGGCATCCTCTTTTCCTTCCATCTCCCGCAGGGAACGCTTGCGAGGCTTCGACCAGCGCTTGGCACCTTCACTGTCTGTCTCATGGTTATCATCTCGGTAATGGCCCGTCTCATTCATGTGCACGGTGAGCTCGACCAGAGTGTCATAGGCAGCACTGCAGTCTTTGCAGTGGAACTTGCTTGCACCAGTGAAGATGGAACCATAGAGTTTGGTGCTCTGCCGATAAAGCTGCACAGTACTGAAGAGGTTTGGCTCAGATGCTGGGTGCAGCAGTCTACTCTGGTTCTGTGAAACATTCTGCAAGGTCTTAGCCATTGCTGTCTGGTGCCAGTCGTAACCGCCACTACCACAGCTACTGCTGCTGCTACTACTGCTGCTGCTACTATGACTACGTGGGGGCTTTTCTGCTGATTGTTGAGACATATTCAAATTCAGAGATGACCAGTAGGAGTTGGTCAGGAAGCTAGTGTAGATAGCTTTCATCTGCTCCAGGCTGTCTGGGCCTAATGTTGTTGCCTCCTCACTGCTTGGCATGGCTGTTGTCGTCATCATCACAGATGAAGTTGATGAAAGAGACGTGAGGGGCTCCTTGGCTGAACTATCTTCTTCGTTCTTCACTGAGGCACTCTCAAAGTCTGACATGCGGTCACTGGACTCACTCAGGTGTGACTCGCTGTCCATTTCATGGCTGGAGAAATCCGCCGGTGGAGAGTCATGGAAGCCTTGCCTGTCTTTAAGGAGTAAGTCATTGTCCTGGCACACATACTTCATGGCAGGTTCCTCCTCCACAGGTGAATCATCTCCTTCAACATCTTCATCTAGTAAGGCAGCCTCCTTTAGCTCTTCTGGCACATATGCTGCAGGTAAAAAAAGAGATAAAAGAAAAAAAACATTATCACATTGTCCAATGATGAACATTTGACACATTTAATTCCTACAATGCCTTGTATGGTGTATAGACAGCTGATAGAAATGTCAGGCATCAGTGTGTTTTCTCCAGCAGTGAAAAACAAAATCAGTCAGACTTTTTTATATTATAAAGTGTTGCAGTAATTCCTTCTCTGCTTTCCAATTGCATTACATTGCCACATGGAATGAAGTTATGTTTCTCTCCTTTGTTCTGAAAAGAGTGTGGCAGGGGGTGGGGGGGTGGTAAAAGAACGGAAAAAATGACTCTTCAAATCGAAGTTGCCACCTTATTCTTCTCAAGGGGCAACAGCTTGAAATTAAAACTAAATTTGAAATTAATGAAGCACATTCTGGAGGTGGCATTCTTTTCAGAAGTAATAAATTACTTGTATCAACCTCAGAGACAGCAGTTCCTGTCTGTCAATTAATATGTCTTACGCTTCTTCAGCAGCCCCTAATGCATTCCCAAACAGACACACTCGCCATATAAATTAAGAAAGCATTCTCACTCATTACCCAGCAAAGGCTTGCCTGCTTGTAAATAAAAATGACTGTATGTACATTTCCGACATAAAAATCCCTGCACCAAACACATTTGTGTCAATTACGAAAGATTAGAAAGTTGAAAGTTATTATTTACAGTTTAGCCTGGAGAATGCAAACGCTCATGAAAAACATGGTCATGTTTGAGCAAGCCTGAAGAAATAAGCAACAAAAATATATATGATTTTTAACTTCCAGTGGAAGTCATGCAAAAAGAGAAAGGCAGAAAGCGACACAGAGAGAAATGTAATGCATTGAAATAATTCTGTGCATTCCTGACTGTGTTAGTTAATCATGCTTTTGACCAGGTATGTAAACAATGGAGAGAGAGGACACTCCATTGGACACACTGGTTTTCTGTGAACACATTCTATCATGTCTAAATACCACAAACGTCAAACTACTCATGCTACAACTTCAGCACACAGCATATACATTTAATTCTAAATACAATGTCAATTTGTATACAAGGAACATTCCATGATTTCCTCAACAAAGACTACATAGAATTAGAATTTTATGAATTTGTATCAGCCCCTTAAAAACAATCTTTTTAGATTAGAGATTTCATTTAAGTGTAACAAAACAGCATTGGTGTGATGCAACAATGATGGCTGTGAAACAACAGCAACAAAGTAAAAAGAATGCCATCAACATGAGGACAGGCATTTTGTAGCCCTTGGCAGAATGACCGAAGACTGGAAAAGACACAAACCCCTTTTTAGTTTGCAGTTGTAATGTGCATACCTCATGGCTTCAGGCATTCTGTGCTGTTTCAATAAACTCAATAGAATTCTCTTATTTATTTTTTAATTACATTTTTTTTTATGCAGTCAAATTATTACTTATAATTAATTTACAAATCTACTAATTATTAATTTTGTTAGTATTATCAACATTAACATAATGCATACAAATTGATAAATAAATAAAAAAGTGTGATAGAATTTATATCCTTCCTTAAAACCATTTGTTTTAATTGTAAATATCTAATAGTTAGCTATTTGATTTTCTGAACTGTGCATGTGTGTGTGAGAATGTTTGTTCCAAACTGAAATTAAGGGGACAAAATTAAGCAACTACTGATGTCTCAAAACAAAGACAAACATTTTTTTACAGCATTATTATTAGGATCCATCTTCTCACACACATCACAGCCAGTCTGTGAAATCGAATCGCCCCCTACACAAATCACAACCAACTGTGATCGTGCAGCACACACAAACTCACATGCACACGCTCACACACAGCCATCTGTTCTGAATCAGCCAAAACGACAGCTGTTTAAGAGAACAATGCCTTCGTTCAGGAAGCAGGGAGAAGCCAAGCTTTACATCAAGGCTAAATAGCAATGTAAAAACCTGGTTCCTTCAAATGTATACACTTTAAACCTATTCACAATGATTACAACACACACACACAAAGTGGAGGTTTTAGCATGGAATTTCCTGCTAAACCACTACATGTAAAATGTAAGGTCAACCTTAAACATAATTACACAAAATGATTAGCTGGTAATTAAAGTTAAAAAGGAGGGTGAGTGTGCCAATGGGCAAAAAAGAGCGAGCGAGCGAGAGAGAGAGAGAGAGTGAGAGAGCATTTGCTCATCACTTCAAGTACAAGCAAACCTGTCTCAATGTAACCTTGACCTGAACTTGACTGTATGTAGAGCACAGAGTAAGTATTGCCAGTGAGTAGGCGTATGCCCTACAGCAAATCTGAGATGTGTGTACATGCTCATGTGTACGTGTGCTTGTTCAAAATTCATTTTCTGACACCAAACACAGAATTAGCACTGCTTGACAACACAACAATCGGTCATAAGCCCCAAGGTAACCTGAGAGGGGTGGAGAAAGATGAGACGAAAGCAGAGGCAGGGGCTAACGAGAGAGAGACCCGACAATCTGCGACACACACACTTACACGTACCAAGTGTTGGTGCATGTCCTGGCTGTATTCCAGGTTCCCAAGCCCCCAATGTACTAGAGTCTGTGTGTTCTGGCTGTGAACAATACTGAGATTTCATCCCTGGACCTTCTGAAGCCAGTGCTCCAATCCAGGCCTACCCACACCACACAGGTGCCGTTTTAATTAGAAAACAGGATGCTTGGATCCAAGACTGGTAGGGTGGGGGTAAAATGAGAATGACCTCTCAATGATTTGGCATCAAACTGGAAGAAGAGCTTGATCTAATTTACACTCGAACATCCAGGGAGACGACCAGCAGAGAATGCTGTTTTCTAAGCAATGGAGAGCGTAACCTTGCAGACTTAGGCTGGACTATTAGGACGCATACTGTCTTCAAACATATCAGAGTATGTAAAAATCTTAATACAGATAATAGTGATAAATCTAATCCTCAAGCCCTTTCATCAAGCAAACACGATTGAATGTTATGCAAATTTAACTAAGTTATGCAAATATGACTCAACCATTTGTGATTATATTGTTTGAATGACTGCAAGAACTAAGGTGCACTTTTTAATTAAAATGAAGTGGCTACTGTCAACCATAAATCAATTTTATTGAATACATACATAATATGATATATATATATATATATATATATATATATATATATACTTTTAAAGTGATAAATGAAATGTACAAAAACATTTTAAAGTTATATAAAATAGGTTATTATATATAACGAAATCACAAAAATTGTATCCACAAACAAAGCTAGATTTCAAAACCGTTGGAATCTGAGGTTGAAAAAACAACAACATCCGGTATCAGGTATATAATGTTGAAAATGGTCTTAATATTGTGTGTGTGTGTGTGTGTGTCTGTGTCTATGTATCGAATGTTTAGAGTTTGATATTTTATTACATTATTACAACTGTTAAAAACAGTTGTGCTGCTTAATTTTTTTTGTAGATACTGTGATACTTTTTTTAAAGGATTCGACATTTAAAAATACATATGCATATAAGAAAAGAATAAAACAAATTTCTCAGCCTTCAGCTGTCATGTATTTTTGGTGTGTGTTTCTTCCTATACATGGACAATGTAGAACTATATACAGTATGTGTGAACCAAGTTAACACCCCTCAAGCTGCTGCCATTTGTTCTTGTTTGCAATCGGCCTCACTTATACAGACAGCAGTTGAAGTCGGCAGCCCGGTCCAATACTTCTGGGTGTGCGGATGAGCTGAAGAGAGCGAAAGAGTAAGTAGTTGGTAATTAAAGCTGCTATATATAGCCCCTAAAGCCCACATTTATAATGGGAGGTATCTCTCTCTAATATGCCACTATCTGCAATGTGATATCATTAGGAGGAAAATGGTTTGTAGCCTTAAGCAGACAGGCTGTCTGTGTGCGGCTGGAGAATATGAGATAGCACCAATCCACTTCTCTTCTCCTCTTTCATCTTGTCCTATGCCCTCACTCCTTTCCTCACCTCCCCTCCATCTCTCCTCGGCTATCATGACCTGTGTTAATGAAGTTAATTGAATTTGAGATCAATAATGCTTAATTATTGCAATTTGACATGCACAGACAAATTGGTGGGGAGGCCAGACGTGTATGTACGCATGTGTAAGTTAAAGGAAATGTGTCCGTGTGTGTTTGTTTGTTTGTGTGTGTGTGTGTGTGTGTGTGTGTGTGTGTGTGTCCAGCACTGGGGTGGGCAAGAGGGCATGGCTGGACAGCGGAGGCAGAGAGAGAAGGATGGACGAAGCAGACAGGCGTGCCATCGATTCCAGAGAGACGCCCCATCGACCAGGCCTACTGACTGATGGAGGCCCTGCTCCAAGGCTAGCTGGAGAGAAAGAGAGAGCTCACTGAGACCACTTTCGCCAGCCTGGCCTGCCCTGCCTACAGACGGAACATTGAGATGGATTGGATGGATGGAGGAGCGTAATGCAGAGAGCAAACAAGAAAGATAATGATCAACGCAGATAAGATGGTTCTACCTACGGGATCATTTGTGTTTTGTTTATAGAATGTGTTGCTGTTACCAAGTGATGGTTACCATGGCTATAACTGTAACAATTTTTGTTTCCCTGCATTGTTTTTGCAACCAGATGAAGACCAGAGGTATTTTCATTTATGAAAACATTAAAGGAATATTCTGAGTTATTTACAACTGAAATGTTTATGGACAGCATCTGTGGCGTCTGTGATTTTAATAGCAATGTTGATAGCTGCATATTTTAAACGTTTATTTGTGATGCTGCACACTTGCCTGCTAGGCTTATGCTGGCAGTGCACTACTGTAAGGGTTTTGTGTTCATCGAAATTATTGTCTGCAGAAACTGACAGCATGCCAGATTTAGTACACAAATATTTAAATTATAAATAATATTCCTAAAATATTCCTAACTTTAGGGTGTGACTTGATTTTATCTATCAGTAACTGGTTGAATTGTGAAAAGTTACATAGACTGAATGATAGTTTGATAAATAT